AGTGGGACCTGGGTATACCCAACTACTGTCCAGAGAAGTCTGGCCAGAAGTGGTCTTCATGGAAGAATTGCGGCCAAAAAGCCATACCTCCGACGTGGAAACAAGGCTAAGCGACTCAACTATGCACGAAAACATAGGAACTGGGGTGCAGAAAAATGGGAGCAGATGCTCTGGACTGATGAGTCAAAATTTGAAATCTTTGGCTGTAGCAGGAGGCAGTTTGTTCACCGAAGGGCTGGAGAGTGGTACAATAATGTGTGTCTGCAGGCAACAGTGAAGCATGGTGGAGGTTCCTTGCAAGTTTGGGGCTGCATTTCTGCAAATGGAGTTGGAGATTTTGGTCAGGTGTCCTCAGCGCTGAGAAATACAGGCAGATACTTGTCCATCATGCCATACCATCAGGGAGGCGTGTGATTGGCCCCAAATTTATTCTGCAGCAGGACAATGACCCCAAACATACAGCCAATGTCATTAAGAACTATCTTCATTCTGCAGCAGGACAATGACCCCAAACATACAGCCAATGTCATTAAGAACTATCTTCATTCTGCAGCAGGACAATGACCCCAAACATACAGCCAATGTCATTAAGAACTATCTTCAGCGTCAAGAAGAACAAGGAGTCCTGGAAGTGATGGTTTGGCCCCCAAAGAGCCCTGATCTCAGCATCATCGAGTCTGTCTGGGATTACATGAAGAGACAGAAGGATTTGAGGCAGCTTACCATCTGTGGTTAGTTCTCCAAGATGTTTGGAACAACCTACCTGCCGAGTTCCTTCAAAAACTGTGTGCAAGTGTACCTAGAATTGATCCTGTTTTGAAGGCAAAGGGTGGTCACGCCAAATATTGATTTGATTTGGATTTCTCTTCTGTTCGCTCACTTTGCATTTTGTAAATTGATAAACATAAACAATTACAATATATATTTTTGAAAGCATTCTTACTTTACAGCATTTTTTCACACCTGCCTACTTAGTACAGTACTGTATAGCTTTTCACACCTGCCTACTTAGTACAGTACTGTATAGCTTTCTGTTCGCTCACTTTGCATTTTGTAAATTGATAAACATAAACAATTACAATATATATTTTTGAAAGCATTCTTACTTTACAGCATTTTTTCACACCTGCCTACTTAGTACAGTACTGTATATCTGGCAAAGTAGACTTTGTCAGAATAAAAAAAAAAAAAAACTTATCACATCCCCAGAAAAAAATGACAAAAAGGTCAAAGTTTTGCTCAAAGCTGAAAACTTTCACAAAGCAGAATGACAAGCAGAAGAGGCGCTATCGCACTGGGTCAGGAATATCCAGACCTACTGCAGCTCTGATAGTATTACTGAAAGATGAGGCCAAGCCCATCCAGAAAACATTAGGATTCATTAGGACTTTTTAAACATTTTAAACTTAAATAGAAAAGGGAGCAAAAACAAAAAACAAAAAACCCAGCTTCCAAATAGCCAGAGTACTGTTGCATGGCACTGAGGACTTTTTTTTTTTGGTGCCTTCGAGTCAGCGTTGACTCCTGGCGACTGCCTGGACAGGTCCCTGCAGTTTTCTTAGCAAGATTTCAGAAGTGGTTTGCCATTGCCTGCTTTCTAAGGCTGAGAGAGAGTGACTGGCCCAAGGTCACCCAGCTGGCTTTGTGCTTCAGGCAGGACTAGAGCTCACGGTTTCCTGGTTTCTAGATTGGTGCCTTCATGCTAAAGACCTATTTTACTTCTCAAGATTAAAGAAACTAAAATAAAAACCCTTTCTTCTCCATACAGGAAGTTTTAGAAAGCCCCATCAGTCCAGCAAAGGATAGGAAGAGAGAAAAATGTCACTTCTCCTATCTTTCAAAGTTCTCACATATGCAAATCCCTTCAAGCCCCAAACCGCATCATAAGACTCTTTCCAGTCTGACTGTGGCTTTGAGCTGAAGCGACCCTTTGTTAGGGGCACTGCAATATTTTGCAATTGGTCTCCTTCTCTGGGTATTGGCTTAAAATGCAACAAGTTTACTGATTCACTTGAAAAGACCAGTTTTTGAAAAGTACAGTATTACATCAATTGATACTTCTATTAAAAACTAAATGGTTCATTAGGTGAGGTTACAACCAACCGAAATAAGTAGTCCACGGGTAAGACCCAAGGAAATCCACAGAGGGGGGATCCTTCCTCACACTTGGCTGTAATAGAGTCATTGAGCTCAGGTAGGTAGGGCATAACATGTGATATTCCACTGTAGTCCAGCCCGTTTATCCATATTCCAGAATCACTTTTTTCCAAGTGACCATCCAGGCTATGAAATCGTCTGTTTAAGTGCTGGAAAAATGACAAAACAAGAAGTTGCTAAGGGTTTGCCTGCTGTCCACGAAGCAGATAAAAAATAGCTTGCTGGGGCACAGGGCGTCCTTTCTTCATGAATGTCTATTAAATGCAAAAATATCATGATATAATTACCCCAATCATGCTTGCACTATTTTGCTATCAACTATGTGCAAGTTTTACAAGCTGCGAAAACAAACTTTGCAACAGTGAGAGTTACCTTGAGGAACTTATGTGCCAAGAAAAAGGTGTTAGTAGCTCTTTATGTACGTCATGATGGAAGTTATGATGCAAAAAAATATGAGTTCATGTTTCAGTATTTACAAGGGCAGAGCCTTTCTGCATATGGGACTTTATGAAATTTTCCATCCAGCTGATGGTATAATATTGAGCCCTAATAATGTAAATGCTCACTGAAATGTATTGTTTGTAAGTTGATCTAGATACGAGGCTGCTTTGAAGGGTGCACTGCTATGGCCCAGTTGTACCCCAGTGAGAGTTTACTATATTCTGTTTGCTATCAAAGATCCTTCGCTTAAGCGCCGCCTTGCCTGATCTTGCCCCAGGAGCATGAGTGTCTCCTTGAAAATGAACCTTTAGCTAATATTTCAGCACACACAGTCCTGCCCTTATTTCAAGGTTTGTAAGTTCCGCTTCCAACTGCAGAGCAACATTAGGCACGCATTTCGCCACTTGCAATAGCTTTCTTAGGAATTTTGACTGTACCCGTTCCAAGTTCTGATAATTGATTCCTGGGTTTATGGGATAATGTCTTGGCTTCAATAAGTTTGAGGGCAGCTGCTACATACTGGGTACCTCTTGAGATGAAGAACAAGAGTTGCAGCTGAATTCCTCTGGGCCGTTTCCATTTCACCCAAGGGGCAGATTGTAAATGGTTAATTATGGCTGTGCAAGAAATAGAACTCTCACAAAAGTTAGTCAAAATGGCTAGAGGTCTGTGATCATAAGACTTGCAGATCCAACATTTGGATTGTCTTTCCTTATATTAGGAACCAAATTGCCAAGACACTCTCTTATATTAAACCATGAGGTAACTGGGAGGTGTCAGCATCAGTGCAGATTTCTCTCTCTCTTGTTCCTCTTCAATGACCATTTCCCCATTCCAGGGATGACATGATTCAAAGGCTGAGGAACATAGCATATTAAAGAGTGTAAGATAAACACATCTGAGAATGAGGGTTGATAAAAATAAAGCTCACATATTAACTTCAAACCACTGGATTTAAGGCAAAGTACTCATCCTTTCAAAGCAGAACTTTAAAAAAACAAAAAAGAAGCTCTCCTGCAACTTCAGAAACACTTTTTACCTGAAGAATGATTCGCTTAGGCCTTGGGTTTGCCGAATCTGAACTGAAAGGGAAGAAGATTCCACTGCAAACAAGGATGAATGTAACTGTAAAAATGGTTGTCAAAGATACTAATGTCATCTTTGTGCTTCTGGACAGATAAATGAACTTGAGCTAAAAAAACAAGAAACAAAGGAAAGGGATTACTTTTATGGAATCATTTCTAGAAAACAAGCATGCAAACTTTAAAAAAAATACATAATTTAATTTTACTTTTCTAAGTTCGTGGCAAATCAGAGATCATATTGAAAACTAGTGACTTCCCCAAGGCCATCCACAATCCTTCTTCTAGTACAGACATTTGGTCCTGTGCTTTCCTTGACTAAGAGATGGATGAAGTAGGCAAGCGCATTTCCTACTGTTCTATAGAACACGCTTTTCTGAAGATCACAGTTTAAAGAAAGTAAAAGGTTTAGTCTTTAAAGCTGCAGAGATATCTTGTGAAATCTCAGAAGCAGAGGGGGTCAGGAAAATTTCCAGAAAATGAAATTTTAGTGCCTTGCAGTTTTTTATCTTTCCATGTATTTTTATCTTTCCATATACAATAAGCTGCAGAAAATCTATTGATTAATTAAGAGGCTAGATGTAATTTTGCAACAAAAAAAGGCACAAAACTTTATTTTCTGTTACAGAATTTTGATTTAATTCTACCTCCCAGCACTTTCCATAGATTGTGAACTCCACCAGCTGCCCCGCACAAACCAAAATTCATGAAGATGGAGGACACCAATATTTTTTTGGTGGGAGGAGGATGGGAGCTGTAAATGATTATTTTGAACTTCAGGATTTGATCATCTCAGTACATATGAAGGAAAATTATATATTTAAAGCCAAGATTAAAAATGACCTGTGTGTTTGTCTCTGTGCATGTATAAAATAAATATTTTCCTTAGAGTCTTTGTCATTTAAGTCATGAAATGGTTGAGAAATGCAAACTGCAGAATGGAAAAAGAAAAGTGAGCCCTGATGATCACTGACCATCTAGAAGGATGATTCCTCTTGCTTTTAAATGGACACAGTATTTTTGAGCTTGACTTCTCTGTGCCCTTCCTGTTTTGTTTTGTTTTTTAATTTCAAATTTTTGCCCTTGGAAGGTTTCTGACTAGATATTGTATGGAGGAAGAGACCTTAATTGGGCATTTGCAAATGAAATTGATAGAATAAGCAGTCCAACCACAGACATGCTTACGGAAAAGTAAGATTGCTTCAGAATGTCAGAAGGTGATGCCTGTGGCTAGAATGAGAAGGGAAATATTGCCTACTTGTTTATGTCCTCTCCATTGTGTAACAGAACATAGCAAGATATGCACTTCGAAATAGTCCTAGATGCCCCAATCAACTGCAATTCTGCTTGTAGCAAAAATGTCTTTTTTGTGTGAAAGCAGTCACCATCATACCTGGTCCTTTGTAGCAAAATTCTGCATGCAAATGATGCTTTCTTTTCTCAAATAAGAAAACTTACAGAGAGCACACATGCTTAAATCTACTGTTCAAAAGTTATTAAATAAGCTCAAATCCACAGAATGCAAGTTTTTAAAAGTATCTTACCAAATAGGAAGACAGAAGTATACACATTACAACAATAAAAGCAGCCACTAGTATATCAGGTGGAATTTCTGAACCACTGCGTCCCATGATGGGAACTAGCATTTCAAGTATAATCCGGCTTAGGTATAATAGATAGAGGTATGGAATAAACATTCCCAGGAGATAAACTGTTAAAAATTTCATTGTGGCACCTGTAAGAGACACAGAAGCAGATTATAATGTAGAATTGTAGATACTGACTTTTTACCATCTTCCTCAACTCAGTGCCTTCTAGATGTTATCTGGTTACAGTATTAACTGTCTATATACTACTAAAACTCTCGTGTCTATAACCTTCAACTGGGTGAAACGGTGTGTCATGGGGCAACTATTCTTGAACAAAGATACCTCAAATGGGCTAACTTACAGAATGTGTCCGAATCCTGGGACCCATTACTCCTGTGGAATTGAAATTTGGGAAATTTGTGGCCACTTCAGCACTGCTCTTCCCTCTTTCCCACCTCCCTCTGTCCCCTGCGCCCAACTGGCTGGTGGCAAGGCCCAACGGGTGAGTGGCAATTGACTGCTTTGGAAACAAGGCAGCAATCTGAAATCTCTTAACGGCAGTGGGCATTGAGGGAAGGATGAGGAAGCAACTTGGATGCCTGCTGGCAAGGTAGGTCTGGCTGGGGGGCACCATGGTAGGCAGGTGAGCCCTCTACCTCCCTTGAGGGAGGGCGCCCTTAGGGACATGCCAGAGTGGGGAGTGGGGGTTTCCTCACAGTCTGTGGCTCTCTTTGTTCCCCTCCCCTCAGCAAAGTGGCAGACATTTCTGTGGGTCAGCCAAGGAGGAGGAGGAGGAGGCTTCACCGGGGCTCTCCTGAGGGTTCTGAGGAAAGGGCAAACAGCCAAAGCCCATATTATATGTGGAAAGGAAGGAAGGAAGGAAGGAAGGAAGGAAGGAAGGAAG